CCTCGTGAAACCTACATGTTCCTTCCAATAAACTCTTCAAAAAGGATTTAAATTGGTTTTCCGTTCTTTGTAACTAAGTAACCATGACTAAGATAGTTTGCTACTGTTCCCTTCACTGATTAAGGCTGGATTCCAGGTAATACATAAGCTATAGATGCCCGGCAGATAACTTGTGTCCTTCATGGGAAGAGAAGACCGCCCACCAAACAGATTATCCAGATTACTGGAAGTCATCAGATGTATGGTTTGAACTAAATGAACTTGGAGCCCCCCATGAAACCTGAAGTTCTGAGGTGCTCAGAAAACACCTACACTCAGTTTCATGCAAAACTCACCCTTTTCAACCCCTTTCCCACTTTTGCCAGATACATTTTAATTTATTACTTAAATTTGAAGCAAGGAAGAAAGTTCCCAGCTCAACTTTCTTACTTGGTTCAGCAGAGGAGACTCCTGATAATCCATGTGTCAAAGCATGAATTGGCCACACTTCCTTTTAAATAGGATGTTCTTTTGCAAACAAGAACGTTTAGGTCAGTGAGGCTGGAGACCCCCACCGATGTGATTCCCTAGAATCTGAGCCAGACCAACTCAACCATTTCAGTCTCTCGTTTGAAAGGAAAACAAGGCAAACTGAGAAAAGAGAGTCTAGAACCTCTCCCAAGGAAACCATCCTACATTTTTAGCCATTCTCCTCTTCATTTGGCATCTACCAAATGTGAGGTTAACAAGGCTTGAGAGATTGATTTGCACTTGAGGATGAGAGGAATGCATTTTATTCAGTTTCTGCTGCAAGCCCTGAAGCAGGCAGGTTGTGGGACTACCTTTGGACAAATCTTTTCATGATGTCATGATTCAAGAGAAAGATCACAGTTTCCCAGAGATTCTGTGCTAGTAGAGGACAGGTTGTCAGGGCTGCTTGTCCATCCCATCTTGCTGGCTCACCATGAATGGATCCAGGTGGAACACCACCAGCTCCAGCATCGGAATCAGGTTCCCTAGCCTGTCTCTAGAAGCTTCTGTGGAGTTGTACAGGGGTACCACCTGTAGTCATATGGCTCAGGTCCCTGTCATATTCAGCTAAACAACTTTGATTTTTGGCAAGCCAAATAATTCCACTAGTATAGGATGTCTTTATACTTTCAGAATGAAATTGTCTTATTTTGCCAAACCATTATGTCCTTTCTTAGTAAAGTTGATACACTGGGTCAGTCTGCCCTCCCCTTTGTCCTAAACCCCTTTCTCTCTTCATAATTACTGGAATACATATGGAATGGAGCAAAACAAAACACAAATTTTGCCCTCCGAAGCCAAACTATGTAGGGAAATGTTACGTCACTCTTGGCAACTGAGAGCTGGACTTGAAGATAATACAAGAAACTCACCATTTCTGTGTTGTTTTTTAATGATCCTCCTCTCCCCTGTGGGTTGATTAGTGTGTCTTTCCATGGGCTGTCTTCAGTTCTTGTCCTGGGAAAGTGCCAAGCCTCACACCCACAACCTATAAATGAAGAAGGAAGGTCATGCACACGGGAGTTGTAGAGTGCAAGAGATATCTGTCAAAAACACAAGTCCTCTCACCTAGAGCCTTTATCCCTTGTAGAACCTTAGTTTTTTGTTATTTTATATATCCTAATCATATTAAAAGTGAATTTATTTTACACTGAATTATTTGTTCAGAAATCAAAAGTATACATCATTCAGGTAGCATTCGATTGAAAACCTCTTTCTTTGCATCTGCTGTGGTCTTAGCTCTGCAGTGCTATGACATGAGGCAGGCAGGAGTTGCTGTCAAAGGATTAGTCCATATCATCCAGCAAATTACACCCTCTTTCTAGGACAAAATACTGCTTCTCTGCACATGAGGATTAGTGCTGTATGGTGGGAAGGCTCTGGATCAAGGTCCAAACCTCACGGATCTCGGTTTAGCTCTGCTAGTAGTTTGTCGGCTGACACAACAACTTTGAGTCTGTTTCCTCACAGAATGAAGCCACTGGATGGGCCGGTCTCTGAAAGAGGCAACAGAGCAGAGTGACTAACGTTGGAGTCCCGGCTCTGCCCTCACTCTTGGATTCAACTTGAGGAAGTTATTTTACCTCCACTTGCCTTGTTGTTGTTGTTGAATCTGTAAAATGGGGATGCCATGAGTTGATGCGAGGATTAAACAGCCTCAGACATACAGAGTGCCTAGAAGAGAGCTTGGCTCAGAGTCAGTGCTCAAATGGTATTATCAGGAACATCACCAACTAAAATCCCTCCAAGCCATCAATAGGACCTTGTCCTACCCACCATAGAAATGTAAAAGAGGACTCGATTTTTTTTAACTTGATGTGGGGAGAAAAAAAATCCATATATGAAAAAATTAGGAGGGGTGTCTGGGTGGCTTCGTCGATTAAGCGTCCAAGTCTTTTTAAAAAATATTGTATTTATTTATTTATTTATTTATTTATTTATTTATTTATTTAGAGAACATGAACAGAGGGAGGGGGAGAGAATCCGCTGAGCATGGAGGTGGTCATGGGGCCCGATCTCATGACCCTGAGATCATGACCTGAGCTGAAATCAAGAGTCGGACCCTTAACTGACTGAGCCATCTAGGTGCCCTGTGTGTCTGACTCTTGATCTTGGGTCAGGTCTTGATCTCATGGTCGTGAGTTTGAGCCCTGCATGGGGCTCCATGCTGGGCATGGAGCCTACTTAAAAAAAAATTAGGAAACAATACAAAATTATCTGATTAAGTGAAAGATAGATTCTCCTGTCAAGTAGTATCAATAAAAGTTAGAAAATACAGACCTTGGTCAATCTTGGGGGGCCCTTTTCTTTATGGCAAGAGTGATTTTATCTTCTCCCCTCTGGCAACCATCAGCTTCTCTGTATTTATGGATCTGTTGCTGTTTTTGTTTGTTTGTTCATTTGTTTCATTTTTAAGATTCCACATACAAGTGAAATCATATGGTATTTACCTTTCTCTGTCTGATTTATATTACTTAGTATCATAACCTCTAGCTCCGTCCATGTTATTGCAAATGGCAAGATCTCATTCTTTTCTATGGCTAATATTCTATTATACATATGTGTGTATATGTTGGTATACATATTATACACACACACACAACACACACACACTACATACATATATCACATCTTCATTCATTCATCTGTCAGTGGACACTTGGGCTGCTTCCATATCTTGACTTTTGTAAATAACACTGCAGTAAACGTAGGGGTGCATATATCTTTTCAAATTAGTGTTTGACAAGAATGATTTTCGGGTGGAGATGATCTAACAGACTTCTCCAACAGACCTTATGATTTTTTCATACCCACTCTTCCCCTGGAACTGGCTCCTCCCCAGGCTTTCCACATCTCAGGAAGAGCAACATTCTCTCAGATCAGTTGGACCAAAAATGAACAAGGATACAAAAGACTTAAGTAACCGAATCATAAAGGTAGATATGATCAATATATATCAAACTATGTGCCCCAAAGGTAGAGAACATATTTTTGCTTTGTGTGTCTGTGGAATGGCTATACTAATTGGCCATACCACTGATCACCACAAATGAAATCACAGTAAGTTTCAAAAAGCAGAGGTAATGTGGACATTTTCTATTCACAATGCAGTAAAATTTAAAATTGATAAAAAATCAGAATTTTAAGAAAGTTGTCATTTAAACAACTTTTGAGTCAAAGGAAAAGTACAGATTAAAACTGCAGAATTTCTATAACCCAATAATAATGAAAATACTACTACTTACTAGATTTTGAATCTAAAGGATTGAACTAAAGCAGCACACATGGGAGATGTCGTAGCCTATACAAGGAATATTTATTTAAATATAAAAGGGATGAAATAGAAGGAATTAAGAATCAACTCAAAAAAGTTAGGAAAAAAAGGACAACAAAATAAACCAGAGGAAAGCAGAAGAATTAAAATAAGAATTAATGAGGTAGATAATGGGGGAAAACACAGTGAATAAGTGAATACCTGGATCACTGAGGCAAAATCAGTAAAACAGATAAGCCTTCTCAGACATCAAGGAAGAAAGAACAAAGGCAAAACAAACAAAAACGACAAGAAAACTGCAGAAAGCAAGGAAATTTTAAAAACAATTTTATGCAAATTTATCTAAATTTGCAAATTTGAAAGAAGTGGATACGTTTCCAGGAGAATATAATTTACTGAAACCAACTCCAGAACATCTAAATAAGTCAATTTTCATAGAAAATACTAGGTAGTGTTATAAAGGAATTAATATTTAAAAAGCACCAGAGCTAGAAGTTTCCTGGGCAAATTTAGCCAAACGTTTAAAGGATGGATGGTTCCAACACCATTTAAATTGTTCCAGAGCAGAGATAAAGAAGGGCAACTTTTTTTTAACCCTGCTAGGATAACATCAGTAACAAAGGCTATAGAAAAAAATAAATAAATAAATGAATCTCATACATGAATATTGATGCATAAATCCTAAATAAAATATTAGCAATCAGAATGCAGCAGCATACAAAAAGAATAATTCTTCACAACCAAGTGCAGCTTATTCTAAAAATGCAAGGACAGTTCATCAAAATAAATCTGAGGAGAAAAATCATATCATCATTTCTGTAGATGCGGAAGATGCATTTTTGAGAATCCAAACTCACATAAAAAACCCTGGGAGGACAGATCAGAAATTGTTGAAACCCGTGACTCATGGGGCAGAGAACAGGGGTACAGAATGGGGCAGATATAGGCATGAGTGGGGGACCAGGTTCTCAATGTGTATCTTTTTATATCATTTTCATTTTTGGACTATGGGATCCTTTTACCTGTTCAAAAAATGAAATTCTCGATGGATGTTAAATATTATTATCTAGTTACCATTGTATTCTGTGCCAGGAACTTTGAACTGTGTTCTTGTTGAAAAACTAAGCTTCAAGTGAATTACAGACAAGAGCAACACTATGTGTTGGGTCGGAGTTAACTAAATAAAAACCAAATGTGCTGGTTACCTCCCTTCTAGAAAGAAGAGCTCTCTTGGCTCCATCTTGACCACAGGGTGGAGGCTAACCCTGGACTAACCTGAACCAGAGACTGATACACAAGAGCCGCTGACCCGCATCTGCAACAACTCGGCCATCCACATCCAGGTCTTCAGGGTTACACCCAAGTAATGCAAATGAGGATGGCCACTTTCTCCGCCCACCCCCACATAAGTAGGCTCAGAGGCCCTTCTTGTACTGAGTACAGTCATGGACCACCTACCAGAGCCGCGTAAGAAAAAGCCTGTTCCCTCATAGCCCAGGGGACTCTGAATTGAGAGGGAGAGTATTGTCTCTTGTTGGGCCCAAGCAGTGGGTCTTCCCGAGTCTTTGTGGTCTGTAACCATTGTCCTAGACAATAAAAACTACCAAGTTGTGTTAGTAAAAACAACAACAAAAAAAAAACACACACACAAACAACACAGCACAAACAACCCACTATGGACTTTGATAAGTCATGTATTACGTCCCAAGTCCACAATGCTGATGTGACTTTGTCATTTGATATGGGAGGAAAACAAAACCAGAAGTGATACGCTCCAGTCATGGTGGCAGAGCTCTGGCCTCCGATACGTCTTCCTCAAAAACAAACTGTGAAGTGGTTAAATGGGCAGTGTCGGCCAGGACTACTTGAAGGGTCCTGACATTGTCCTTAGACACCGACTCCACTGCGTTTATTGGGGACCTGCCCTGTGCCAGCTTCAGGGACACAGAACTCAACATCTCCCCACTTGCCTCCAGAGGGCTCAGACTGGAGAGGGACACATGAGCTGGGGCCACCTGTTAGTGTCTGCTTCTCCAGACGTGAGCAACAGGTACAGAGGAATCCTACTGGAAAGCTCCGCCACCCAGCCAGGGCCTTCAGGCCAGGCAAGCCTGCCCAAGTTTTCAGGGGTGAGTTGAAGTTTGCAAGATGCAGAGGTGCCAAGAAGTGGTGAAAGCCACACCTCTGCCCAAAAGCCCCTCCGTCTGCTCCACGGACCACTCTCATTGCTCAAGTCGCCCCCACAGAGGCAGTTCGGGCAAGGGCACTCTCTGTTCCTCTCCGTCTCATACTGGTGCGGTTGATTATGTTTGCCACTGTATCCCTAGGACCTAGCCCAATGCTTGGCATTCCATGGGTGCTTGGTAAATACTTGGCAAGTGAGCAAAGGGTTTTTAAGCTGTGTTCTTCAAAGAAAACTGGCCAGGAATGTTTGCATCATGTGTTCCATTTCTTTATTTTTTAAAAGTTCATTTGAGAGAGAGAGAGAGCAGGAGCCAGGTGAGGGGCAAAGAGAGTAGACTCCCCGCTGAGCAGGGAGCCCGATGCGGGGCTCCATGAGGGGCTTGACCCCAGGACCTGGAGATCATGACCTGAGCCCAAGGCAGGCACTTAACTGACTGAGCCACCCATTTCTTTGGGTAAACCTCCATGACAAACACGAAAACCCATTCAGGTGCTTGTTCTTTTCTGAAAGAACCTGTCAGGACTGATTGAGGGCCCGGTAACAGCTTGTTAATACTGGGCTAGGGAACAGTAATCCCCTGACCTGAGTCCACTTAACCCTGTTCCCTGTGCTCTGCCCCCTTCCCTCTCCTTCCAGCACACAGCTCCTCTCTCCCTAGGAATCCTAGCAAGGAAATCACGTCTTTTAGATGCAAATACATTTTAAAGGGCTGCCTAAAGCCTGTGTCCCCCCTTGGCGGGTAGTACACAGACGTCCCGCTGCTACTTATTGTTTATTGTGTGATCCTCAGCTGCTCACTTCAAACCCTAGTTTCTCCCTCTGTAAAAGAGAAATGTCACTCCTACTCTGTTTATTGGCCATGTTTGTGAAACTCCCAACGGAACACCTGGGACATAATAGATGCTCAATAAACAGGAGCTGAGAACAGTTGCTATCATTATTGGTGACGGCAATGGTGGGTTTATCGGTTTATTTATCAGTCCCAGCACATTACAAATACCCATCAGCAGAGCCTGCTCCTTATCCTATTACGCGTGCGTGTGCAGGGAACAGTGACGAGAAGACGAAGATATTGAGAAAGTCATTAAACAGTTCTGCGTGAGTGGGGCAGTGAAGTGTGAAATCTTGGCAAAGGGAGACTGGGTACAAATAAGACTGAAAACAAGGCCTTTTCGAACCACAGGGACAAACACGGTCTTTAGATACACTGAAGCCTGGGTTTAAGTACCCAGAACTCCATCAAAATAGATTCTTGGTGTCTGACCTAACTCATTTGCCCTCCAACTTGCCTGGACCCTTGGGCAGATGCTCACTTCTTTCCCTCCTTCCCCTCAGCTCACTCTTGGTCTGTCATCTCCGGGCTCGGCTTCCTGTGCCCTTCCCGGGTCTTCCTCCTCAGGTGCTGGTGCGTGCCGCCCTGACCCACCCCGTCATGCAGGCCAGGACCCCATAGTTGCTTTCAATTTCTCTTCTGCTTTCTCTGTCGTCGTTTGTTTGCTGTATGTGAACAGTCCTCACACTTTCCGTCCCCTCTGGCACATTCCACGTGCAGTCACCAGGGATGGACCTCTGTGGTGGCCCCCCAACTGCCTCTCCGCCCTCAGCAGTCGCCCACACCCACCGCTCCCAGTTAGCCCTTCACAGTGTAGTCAGAACGAGCCTTCCAGTGCAGTCACTGCTGCCCTCAGAGGACAGTCTGTCTCCTTAGCATGGCGCCCAAGGCCTTCAGGACCCGCTCCTGCCCACCTCTCCACACCTGACCCCTCCCACACTGAAGGGCAGAAGCTCTGCTCTCACCCAACCCTCAGGGTCTTCAGTCGGACGCTCCTCTTGCCTCTCCCCACCTCCTCACCAGAATTCAGCTCAGGGACCATCTCCTCCAGGAAGCCTTTGCGGACTGTCACCTGTCCTCACTCAACTTAATTCACAGTATTGACATCGTAGTATGGTTGCCTCTCAGCTGTCCATCTGCCTGTAGGGGACAGTGGTGAAGAGTGGGTCATCTGGAGCCAACCCACCTGGGTTCACAACCGGGCGCTCCCACCTATCAGCTGTGGGGCCTTGCACAAGTTTTCACACACCCCTCCACACACACACACACACACACACACACACACACACATACACCGTTGCTTCAGCCCCCCACCCGCAAACTGAGAGGGACCACGGCACCTGCTTCTCAGGTTGTCGTGAGGGTAAAACAATTCATACACCTAGAGCACTGGGAATGGAGGTGGCACATTATAAGCCCTGCATGAGCGTGAATTATTATTGTTAGATCACCTTGAGGGCAGGGCTCTGTTTTATTCACCTGCTGAGCCCCTGGCACTGAATTCATAAACAGTAATAGCACTAACATTGATGAGCAGAACAACGGGTGTTTGTAGAGATAGCCCTGCATACAGCCTAGAAAATGTCTACATATACCCTATCTCATTTAGTCCTCAGCACCCTGCTGTCAGATACCTAAGGACTAGCCCCATTTCCCAGGTGAAGAGACTAAGGCACAGAGAGTACTGGATTGGTCCAACCAGTTGGAGGAGCAAACAGTACAGATGGTGTTCAAACTGGCCCTTCTGACATCAGTACACATGCGTTTGGAATTTGGGGACTTCAGTCGCTGAGACTGGGTCAGCATCTTCTCCTTGTCCAGATTTTGGGTCTGGCAAATTCCTGCTTGTACTTAACTCCCAGCTTCAAAGTCACTGCCCCTGGGGAGCCTGGCTGGCCCTTCCAGGACCCCTGGACTCTGCAGTTGAAGCCACCACGTGGCATTTCTCTCTGTCTCTCTCCCTTTTTCTGATATCTCTTCTACTCTGTGAGCTCTCTAGAGACAAGGGCCACTCAGGATCCATCTCAGTATCTCCCAGGCCTAGCACGGCACTGGCAGGTGAAGGCACAGGACCCAAACCGAACAAACTGTGGTTCCTTTGGTGGGTGATGGGCTCACAGAGTGGCAAGTGACACGGGCCATCGGCAGAGGAGCGCTGTGTGGGCGGCCAGTGGCCAGGCCTCCTGGCTCCTGCCTGGTCCCACTGTTGAAGTTCCTGGGCATTGTTCCTCACTTCTTCCCTGGGACTCTCAACCCTTCCCCATGGGGGCCACAATAGCACCTCTGCTGGAAAGCTAGGCACAGCTCCTCCCTCCAGCTTTCCAGCACCCATCTCGACCTCCATCTCCAAACCAAGGTCCTCAGAGTCTGAGGTGGTTTCGCTGTAGGGAGCCAGGAGTGGCTGCAAGTGTAATGACTCCACCCCCCAGCTTGACAAAAGGGGAAGAAAAAAAAAAGAGAAAGGCTAAAGGCTGCCAACCACTTTTTGAGCCTTCATGATAGGTGTATACCCCGAAACTCTATGGTATGGATTGATATAAGGCAAGAACAGTGCCTTGTATTCAAAATACCCATATCTTCTCCCCAAAGTCTGGCCCTCCACAGAATACCAGTCTCATTGACCTCAGCCAGGAGCTGTGCACCCTGTCCAATCGTGAGGAAAATGTGTGGCAAGGCTCTGGACCATGAACAAGGCACCGGCTCTTTCTGAAATGGTCAGAGCCCGTTAGCAATGGATACTGCAGTGAAGAGTTCAGTTTTCAGGGCTAACCACTGTGGAAGGACAGATGATTTTAAGCAGGTTGGGAAGTTTATTCACTAACCTTTCGAGCCTTGACTGGCCTGCCAAAGTTGCCCATGTCGCTGAGCTCTGCCTTGAATTATTTCTATGGTTCCCACATCTTTGAGAAACTCCTCGAGATTCAGATCTTGAGTTATGTTGGTTCAGGTCCTCTAAGAAGCAGACACCAACACAGTGTTACACATGCATGAAAGAGATTTATTGGGGGGGGGGGGGGAATGCCTGTGAAGGAAGAAAAGCCAGAGTCTTCAGACAGAGATACAGGTCTGACATCTCTGAAACGAGGTAGGAGGAAGAGAGAGTGGGCAGCAGGAGTGTTGGGCCGCAGGGCCGTCCTCAGAAAGTCTCAACCAGACCAATGAGGAATCCTCAAGCCAAAGGTGTTTTGAAACTCCCGTGTCTGTAGGAATGGGCCTGCATGAACGCCTTGGCTATGTTCAGCCTTTGGCTGGAGCGGCCCGGGGGAAGTATGGCAGGAACACGAGGGTGAATCAGAAGGGCAGCAGCTGGAGCTGTCAGTCAATTACGTTTCCCAGAGCTGGAGATCTGGGCACAGTTTCTTCCCCATCAGCCCCCTGGGTGGGGGCATCCGATGATCTCTCGCAGATCGTCGAAAGCCTCTTAGCCACTGGTCAGCTTTCTGTGTTGGGTACATGGATCCAACCTTCTTATTCCTTCTGGGATCTCCCACTCCAAATAAGGAGGGTTGACAGGATCTTGGAAGTCCAAAAATGATAAATATCCAGCATAAAAAGAACTTTGTGAAAGGTGTTGTAATTCTTCCCACACCAAAAAAAAAAAAAGTTTCTTAGCCAAAAGAGTTCAGAAAACACCTGTTTTTAAACAGTGTTAAACAGATTTCCAGGATTTCTTACAGCTCTTACCAGGTTGATATATATCTTGAGTCTTCAAGGGAACAAAATAGCGTGTAGAGTTTGTCAAATTTATATGACCATTGACTGCCCTTCCACCTCCAAATTTTATGATATTTTTTAGAGTATCTTATGAGACATGCTCTTGGAAATGCTGAACACACTGTGTATCTCCTGTGTATCCCTCCAGAGCCACTCCCCAGCCTTCCCCACCCTGCTCTGTGCCCACGAGGCTGACCTTCCTGGACAGTGGCCCTCCCTTGTGCTTTGTCAAGCTTGTCCAAAGTAGAACTTTGGGATGATGGAGATACTCTGCGTCTGTGCTGTCCTGTAGGGAGAGCCATTAGCCATATATGGCTATTGAGCACTTGAACTGTGGCTAATAGGACAAAGGACCTGAATTTTAAATTTTAATTAGTTTAAATAGCTACATATACCTAGTGGCTCCTGTCCTAGACAGCAGGGTTCTAGATTTTGGCTTGGGTTTGACCAATAAGAAGCACCAGTGGGAGACGCGGGGGTAGAAGGAGAATAAAAAAGTTATTGATTTCCCTGGCCCCCTCCTGGTGCGGGTTGGCCGAATCTTCTAACAAAAGTCTCAGCTCTGGTCAGACAGCCCTTTATTCTGACACCAGTTCCAGTGTGTGTGGGTTTTTTTCCCCACACAAAGCAATTCTCCAACAATTCAGCTGAATTCTGACTATTTTCTGGAGATAGCGATGGATCCCCCAGGTTAAGGGCACAGGCCTATGAGACTGTCCCCTCCTCCTACTTCAGATGCTAACTGAAAGTTCAAGCTGTGACCTGCGCTTCCTACCCATCGGCTCTAGACCAGAGGTTCCAACAACCTCCTCTTTGGGTTTGATTAATTTGCTAGAACTGCTCACTGAGAGAAACTCAAAGAAATATTTTACTGACTAAAGTTATTATAAGTGATAGGATTCAGGAACAGCCAGATGGAAGAGATGCATAGAGTGAGGTGTGAAGAGAAAGGGGTGTTGAAGTTTCCATGCTCTCCCAGCACCTCCCACAAATTCACCTCCCTGAAAGCTCTCCACACCTGTCCGCTTAGGTTTTTGCGGAGGCTTCGTTACATAAGCATGATTGATTAAAAAATTGGCCACTGGCAACCAACCTCCAGGTGCTCTCCCCCCCCACACACAAAGGTCAGTGGGTGGGACTGAAAGTTCCAACCTTCTAACCAGGTTGTTGGTCCTCCTGGCAACCAGCCCCTCATCCTCAAGAGCTTTCCAAAAGTCACCTCCATAGCTTAATTCAGATGTGGTTGGAAGGGCTGGAAGGGGTTTGCTGTGACTCTCAGGACATCTTTACTGCTTTTATCACTTCGCAAATTCCCAGGGTTTTAGGAGTTGTGTGCCAGAAATGGGGACAAAGACTGAATACCTATTTCTCGTTATAAATC